CAGAGGGACCCAAGCCCCACCGGGCCGAGCCGGCACACGCCCAAGCACCCAGCCCCAGACAACGAGAGCCACCAGTGCGCCGGTGGGCAAAGGCACAACCCACCAGAGGACAGCACGGCAGGGGAGTAATGGGCCTTCAAATGATCCCAAAGAAGGGGCTGCCCAAGTCCCAGCCTGACAAAAATACAAGCATTCACAAACACAATCACACAGTCCCACCCTCATCCTCTCACCCACTCATTCAAAGACACAAAAGATGAACGCCACAATCCACTCACACTCCCCATACATACTCTTTACCCCCCAGGTCTAGGATATGCACCCACCCCCTGCAGAGGGCAGCTCACACCTGAACCCAGGAGGTAGACCCCTTCAATCTGGGGTGGAGAAGAGCAGACAGCCAAGTCCCAGCCCGGGCCGCACCAGTCCGACCGACCAGCCCCCCGCCCCAGCAAAGCCATGCCCTGGACCATCCCCACACCCTGCCAACGGCCAGGTGCCCACCCCCAACCGACCATCCCCCAGACTCTGGCAGCCACCCCAGCCAGCGGGCCAACCACAGCAACCAGGAATCAGACCCAGGGAGCCCCTCCAAGCCTCACGTCCGCCCGCAGCCCAGGCCCCACCAGACGGTCAGCCCCCACTCCCCCCCAGGACCCCATCCCCAGACGGCCAACGGGGAACGGGGTGGTGAAAAAGACCCCGATACACACACCCCCATCCTCAGATGTACTGTTGATGCATGATGTTCTATAATGCAATTAAAACGGGGATGAAGACGGGGCAGAAGCCAGCACTATGCCAGTTTCCCCTCCACCCCAACACTAACCCTAACCCTAAATGTCTAAAAGCAAATGATGTGAGTGGGCACAGGCATCAGTGGCGAGACTATCCCATCCCGCCCCTTACATGCATAAGTGCCCACTCCCAAGTTCCTATGTGTAAATGTTATGAGGTTATGAGTAAATGTCTAAGGTGTACAGTAAAATTGGAGCCCAGGTGGCCACAGCAAACAGATGTAAAATTGTTGCCGCTGTAACACACCTGTGYCCCAAAAACCCTACGTGAGTGCARTTGAAAAATGAAGAGGGTGGAGGTTTGTGGTGGGGGATGGGGAGAAAAAAACTGAGGGAGCAAGAATGCTCTCACAGGGGGCCAGCTCCCCCACTGACCCCAGTAGGCTCCCCGAGACCCACCCAGGGACTTTGGCCCCCAAGAACTCTTCCTTTGGACAGACCGCCAGGCCTGGAAGACACCAGATCACGGACAGACAGTGCCCGGAGGATAGCCAGAAACTGGGACCAACAGATCCCCCGCCCCAGAGGCGCACAGACCCCCAAGACCCAAAAAAAAAAAAAAAAAAAAGAATTAAAATATGTGCCACTCTGCCACCTCCCTCTTAAAACCAAACTGACAGTTTTGCCAGTGTAATTTGGCTTTTTTGGATTTTTAAAGCTGTTGGTCAATGACAAAATACTGCAGATCTTAAACTTTTTTGTTCCTGAGTTCTTTGACATATTTTACTACAAGCAAACATCCCATGATCTAAATCCTGGTTTGGTGTGTGACCACCCACCACCTCTCTTTTTTTTTTTTGTAGTGAACAGGGATTTATAGGTTTGCTAATTTCCTTCCACCCACATATCTTCCTGCCACTCGGCTCTGACTGTTACTCAATGCACCGTCCAAATCTTCTATTGAGAGCATTCAACACTAAATGTTTGAGTTAAGAGTAATTCCCACTAAGTGGAAGGGTTTCTTTTGCAAGGTCACATGCACATTCAAATAATGTTTTTGCTTTCTCTTACATCAGTAACGGGAACTGTCCTGTCCTGACCATGATACTCATGAGCTTTTCAAATGAGAAGCAGCAGCGTGTTGGTTGGCTGGGCCGTGGTGGGCTGAGCTCTTTGTGCCTGTGTGGTGGAGCAGGGTCTCGTGTGTCTGCACACCGGGCTTCATGTACTGCTTAAGTGCAAAAAAGAACTCAATTCAGTCCTAATAATTAAACCAGCATTCCCTAAAAGAAGGCTAATCGTTTTAAAGCAGCTTCTCCTGCAAGCTTCAGCTGTGTTCTTCACTTAGCTTGGGCTGATTTATTTTAATAGGTAGCTTTACTGTCCCAATTTAGTTGTTTCACAGCACATGAATGAAAATTCCCCATAAAGCCTTATACAGCAAACTGTTGGCATTGCTTCCTTCAGTCTTCTGCATGAAAAAAGCACTTTTGGAAATATTCTGCAGATTGAAAGCATTCAGTCGAAGCATTCGTATTTAATTTTGCTCATGAAACCGACACAGTTTTTTTTCCTCTGTCATTATTATTTCCCAGCAATTTTCATTTCTAGATGAATGCTGCTAAACATTGTCATGTTTATTTAAGTAATCTCTTTAAATGAAGTATCAAGTTTCATGTTTTGTTTTTTTTTTCTGTTCAGAGATGCTCATGCTGAAGTTAAAGTCCACGCTCTGGTTCAAGTTTGTGTTGGAATGTGTATCAATGTGTTTCTGTGCATGGGTGTGTGTTTTTCATGTAAGCCATCTAATGGGCACAAAGCAGGCAGTGTGTGCCTCCTCGGGTGCTGAAATGTACACTTGGAACAACAGGCGGTTTCAGTCCTTCTCAATAGGAGCTGCCCTTCTTATTGTACCTCACGCACAATGAGCTTTTCTCTCTCTCTCTCTGTCTGTCTGCCTTTCTTTCTCTTTGTGTCTTTCTCTCTTTATGACCATGTGCAGACAGAGGTTTTTGATGACAGAGTGGACAAATCAGATGCATCTTAGTGTAGATCTGGAACCTGACCCTATAGTTTCATCACACCTATGGATCCAGACAAGCTTAGTCATGCAGAGATGAGAAGTCATTGCAGAAGAGGAAGTAGTGGTCCTGGGATTCCCCTCTGAGTGTTTGTCTGAACATGAAGGGGGAAGAAGAAGATGCTGATGAGGAGGGTAATGGGTGTTTCCCTGCTCCTCCTGCTCACATGATCTTCCCAGGACAACAAGATAACGTGACTCGCACATGACCTCTCTGACACGACAGAGGAAGTCTTCCCTCACTTCACCACATTTTGATGGTTGATGGTGAATGTGAAGATGCTGACATGGGAATGGTGCTTGCTTTTGCTCCATCAATATGCTTGAGTGTAATTGATCATTTGTCTTCATTCTTCTTGATTGAAAAATAAATAATTCAAGAAGTGTATAATAATTTTTACTTTAATTTGAAAAGAAAAAGCACAATTGTGATTATGTTCCTTCAAGAAAACTGACAGTACAGACCAAAAGTTTGGACACACCTTCTCCTTCAAAGAGTTTTCTTTATTTTCATGACTATGAAAATTGTAGATTCACACTGAAGGCATCAAAACTATGAATTAAAACATGTTGAAATATATAATCTACAACAAAAAAGTGTGAAACAACTGAAAATATGTCATATTCTAGGTTCTTCAAAGTAGCCACCTTTTGCTTTGATTACTGTTTTGCACACTCTTGGCATGCTCTTACCCAAACTTTATCTAATGAGATTCAATAATTTATTATCAACAATTATGAGACCAAAGTACTGAACTTCAATGAACTTTGATTTGTGCATAAATAATTAAATTTTACTCTTTCGGTTAAATGAGGAACAGACCACGTCACATAGAAGCTGTCAATGTAGATGCGCTTTTAATTTTTTGTTGTCTAAATCTCATATCACTAAACAAATCAAGGGTTAAATAATTGACATTTAGACATAATTATACAGTCTGTTTTAATTAAGAGTCAATTCCCTGAATGTCAAGGAAAGACAGTTGTTGTTTGTGCAGAATATAAAAAAAAATTGACTAAATTCTTTGGTATTAAGGTGCAGTGGATGATGCACAGTAGGGATGTCCCTATCCAGATTTTTTGGCTCCTGATACAATCCAAATTTTTTTAATGATTAGTCTTTCCGATACTGATCCGATAGTTTTATTTCTTTATTTCTTTCCAAGTGACAAGGTTGGTAGTATTAAAGCGAGCCCTGCTGTTCCCACCACGAGAAACATCCAGTTTGCAGATTTTGCAAGATGCAGTTTCAGCATCATTGTTTTCCATTGAAAAGTGTTCCCACACTGTGGGCATGGTTCCACACTTGTGTGCGTCTTGACTTCTTAACGACAGTTGTAAAGCATGATGCTGAAAACTGTCATGAAAACTGTATCACATGACTAAATCTGATTCTACCCGATTTTCGAAAAATGGCCATATCTGCCACCGATACCGATATTGAGTATCCGATCAGGACATCCCTAATGCACAGTAACTCATCAACACATTTAAAAAAAAGTATATACTTATTTAAGAGAAGAACTTAAATTTACGTGGAAAAAATGACTTGAATACTTGTAATAGTTCTACACACACAGCACAAAAAGTAAGAAAATTAGTGGTTGGTAGATAATTTCTTTGTTGTAACAATGCTTCTTGGTAATAAACCTTATAGCAGGCACCTGACTGGCTCATCTGGGGGCAGCAGGAGCTCAAAACGAGTCAAAAGCAGCAGCAAAATGAGCTGTTTGGCAGAGAAGATTTGGTAAAATTTTCATGTATCCAGTCAGCTCTACTGCTCATCCCACAAATGCATGTTCTTTACAAATGTGGCACCATTTAAAAAGGAAATTAACAGGCTTTCCAAACCATATAAGATTTGTTGCCAAGAAACACTGAAACAACAAAGAAAGAAACTATTAAAAATAAATTTCCGTACTTTTGTGGTAAGTTTATGTAGTTACATAGAGCAGGTTTCTGACAGTTTATTTACTTTTATGCTGTTTGTCATCCTTTTTATTTCCCACTTGTCTTAACAGGAGTGCTCTCCTAAAYATTTCAACATTTAATTTGATGTTTTGTTTTACTCATTTCTGAAGACCAAGGATTTGATTTTGGATAGATCAGATTATTTCTGCCATCTATCTATGTTATGTCTTCCTCTCATGTCAGAATATTAATTTTTCTCCTCATCTCCACAGATTCCTCAACCTTTCGGGCTGGACTGCGGTGCTTTAACTTCGGCTCGCCCTCCCCTGCCCCCTCGCCCCCCAGCAATGGCCTCACGCATCGGGCTGCGGATGCAGGTAAAGCCCTGCTGCCTTCCACCATTCAGTGAACAATCCATAACTAATGTAYATGACTGACTGGACAATTTCTTAGATAAAAAAAGAAAGTTGAGATTTGGGAGTGGTCATTTGTTTAGTGGACAATGTCATTCAGTCTTTTATTTTTTCACWGCTGGATCCGACTTGTCCTCTTGACATTTATGTATTTCAGAGTTTCCACTTTTCATAATGTTCTTATAGATTGATTTTAGAATTTCATGGCACTTTTTCCACTTTGCTAAATAACCGAAGGGTGGAGAAAACCCTAAGTATCCCCCCTGCAGCGCAGCTGTTTTAATTAGTGAGGGTTTGTATTCAGCGTTCATGTGATGTTTGTGTGTGTTTTTATGCAGCTGATGCGGGACCAGCTGCAGCAGGAGGAGCAGCGTGAGCGGCAGCATCAGCAGCAGCAGAATGCAGCGCTGCAGTACATGCAGCAACGCATGGCGGGGACACCTGCGCCCACGCCTGCCATCAGCACCCCGCAGCATTACCAAAGCATGCAGGTCCCCGTGGAGGTCCTGAAGGTCAGAGGAGCCACGGGGGGGAGGGGGGGTGTTATTGAGCTGCTTGTTTTTAAACTTGAATAGCCAATAACTCTTTGAAAATTTATCACRAGAAAAAAACCTGGAATGCAACATTTTACTGTAAACATAAAGAAATCAGCAAATGCTGAAAAACTTCAATCATCAAAATTATTGACGTTTTCAAAATGATTTCACAAATAACTTGTTTTCTGATAAGTCGGTGACTTGATTGATATATTGCTTATGCTTGTGTTTAAATGTCACATTTTATCATAAGTGATAAATAATCTCCAGACTCGAAACGACTGATTGACAGATTTATTTAGAAGTACTTTAAGTGATAGTTCAGGTCTTTAGAAGTGGGTTTGATGGAAGTGTGACGAACATTTCTCTAAAACAACCATCAACAACATCGAGCCATCCATCAAAAGCTTGTTTTTATTTTAGACTTCCTCACTGCACAATCTGTGAGAATAAAATTAAGTATTTTCTGAAATCTCTGTGTCTCGCATCCATCCAGTCTACACACAGTTGCAGAGGCCGACACAAAGCCCTACACAAATCTTATTGATGGGATTAACTTAAGAAATAAATGTTTGTTTAAGAGGTCTTTAAAAATGCTGGATGCTGTGATAAGCAGATCCTGTCTTGTGGGCCTCTCATGCTGTGCTTACATACAGAGAAAAATCCAGATTGGGCCTGAAAACAAAAAAAATGGAAGAGAGAAAAATGAGCAAGAGAGCAGCAAGGCACAAGGAGCTGATAGGAGACATTTAACATGTTTTGAGATAGAAGAGTCAGAGTCGATGCAGATAAAGTCTGAGTCAGACATGGACAGATAGAGCTGAGGTGACATTTTGCCTGGTTCCAGGGATGCCTGTGTTTGTCCTTATCTGTATTTGTGCGTGCCGGTTTGTGCAATACTCCTTTTAGATGCGAGAGGATGTTGCTTTGTCCTTTTTTAAACTGTAGATGTGTCCATAGTGCGTGCGTTCCCTGTATGTGGCAACCTTGCTGTACAGACAGTCAAGTATGAGTGCATGCGTGGCTGAATGGAATGATGTTTACAGTGTCTCAGTGTTTTTCCTGCTGTAGATAAAGGATAGCCCACTGAGCCTGTCGTGCCTCCTGCGGCCCGTTTCTTTGGACTTCATCTGTGCTGATAGTGCTTGGTCAGACCCGTCGAGTGGTCATGACTGAACAGTTGTTACTCTGGCTTATGAGACCAACACACATTTTTTTTGTATTGTTCCTACAGCTGAAGGACAAGAATGTAATCATCAGCATTCATTGTCTGTTTGTCTGCAAGATTACGCAGCAACCACCAAGTCAAATTCCATGAAACCTGGTAAAGAGGTGGAACAGATCGAAGGAAGTATTTTCTTGAAAAATGCAAATTTGATACTGGCTTTGGTAAAAAAAAAAAAAAAGGGAACAAGCAGGAACATCTATTTACAACAAAGTATTGGGGTCATTATGTATAATCCCGTGTTTGGTTTTTAAATTAAATGATGGTGGTGGGGTTCTCTTTATTGGGCCCTGGTCTTTGATGTGAAGGAATGAGGCCAACCCATTGCTCTATTAGCCACACTTGAGGATTTAGAGCAGCTTTTCTTTTTCTTTTTTTTCTTTTTTTTTACGACTGAATTAATGCTATTACGTCCTAGCCCTGTCACAAAGGGGTCAGAACGCAGCGTTTCGGGGCTTTAAATGTTAGTAGTAAATCGTACTGAGCTAATAAGCTTTTATAACAAATCAAAGATATGTGTTTTCTTTAAAAATGACTGAATTATGGTTATATGCATGTGTAATAATTGAAAAAATCGTAATATATTGCTTTCTATGGAACTTCTATGTTATTTTATGGAAAATAAAAACAATTAGGTGAYATCATTGTCCTGTGTTTACCTAAAACAGGTGCAAACCCACCTTGAGAATCCAACAGACTATCACATACGTCAGTCGCGGAGGCAGCAGGTGAAAGAATACCTTTCAACCACCTTTGCCACTAAACAGGTATCTGTCTAAGTGATTTACTGATTTTCAGTACTGTACTATGCAAAAAAATTTAAACCACACTTTGTACTTTATTATAAGGCATGTCTTCTTGTAATATTTAAGCGGTCTTATTCAGTAGTTCTTTGGGCTTCCAAAAATATCTTTGAAACTTTTTTTAGACTGTAGCTGCTTTTTTAAAATAAATTTTCTATCCAGTCTTTGTACCTCATCATCACGACTATAGGCTCCTTAATTAATGGAGCAAAAGGATAAGCTGAACCCTCATTTTTTAAAGTAGTGGCTGGGGACAGGCATGTCGTTTTGTTCCGTCATTGGAGACAAAAACATGTTATCACTCCCAACAATAATAAAAAGATAATAAGTTGTTTTATCGATTCTTATTGAACTTTAAGAGTTACTGTCTGAACATTTAACAAAAACAGTGTGTCGACCTCCATGTCAGCTGTTTTGGAGTTTATGATGTTTAGGGTTAAACTGGATTAAATTGGACCTAAATATGTACATTTTTTAAGAAAATTTTAACTATTTATCAAGATCACTTTAAAAATTACAATAACGTATGACTCTTTGAAGGAAGAGATAAAGAAATGAGGGATGACTCAAACTTTTGCACTGTGCTGCATATCTATAATTGTTATGGAGTAAACAGCTTGTCATTTAGTTTGTAACTAATTTGTTCAACCGTCTGCAAAGTACGGAAATAAAATTGTTGTTATATCAGTCATTAATATTGTCTTCTTTCTCTATTTCCTAAGACGGTCCACGCAGTAGCAGGACACTTGCCGCCATCTCCTCCCACAAACATGGGACCTGTGGGRGGTTCGGCACCTGCGCCCTCCACAGGTCCCACAAACATGGGGCCATTAGGGGGCTCAGCACCRGCTCCCCCGCCTCTCCACTCCCCACACATGCGTAAGGAGCAGCTCATGTCTGGCAACAGCGCCCCCAACAGCCCCATGGCCATGCTCAACATCGGCTCCAGCCACGAGAAGGAGGTAGGTGCCAACGAGCGTGAGCAGCCCGCGGCACAAACATGAACCCATAAACCATGAAGTTCATGGTCTCCTCGTAAAACTCCATTTACAAGAAGCAGACGTAACAAATAACACCAAAATATAACTTAATTGTGCCCATACGTGAGATTACGAGGATTAAAAATTACCCCGGATGCGATACGTTCTCCACCTTTTTATGAAAGCGTCGTAATGATTTAATTGTTTTTTGGCAGGCAGTGTCTGTGAGCGAGCCGGTTAATGTGCATACAGTTGGACGAAAGTGTTGACTAACTGGCAATAACTGAGAGTGACAATTAGTGGAGCTTAAACGCTTCATAATGACCTTCCAGAGGTAATTACAGCTTAACAAGTGACAGAGAAACAGCAGAACGTAGAGGCCTTTGAACCTTGGAGACTTTGACCAACTCTCTGTCTTCAATGAGCAGCCTCACTTCTTTCTGTCTCTATAAGAGAAAGTAACCCTGCATGTCAGCCCTGTGAGAGAGAAATCTTTGTTTTTTCAAGTAAAGCAGGTTTCTGGGGTTTTACTAAAACTGATAAATAATCTTTCAGTGCTGTATAAATTAGTTGTTTAAACCTACTAAAAAGTAGAGCTGCTGTTCAATTTAGGGGATCTAAAATTACTTAMGTTGATTTTTTTCTTCTTTTTTTCAGATGGATGATGTCATTGATAACATAATGAGCATGCAGTCCAGTTATGATGACATTCAACCATACGTTGATGCTGTCCAGATGCCAAACACGGTACGTGAGACTGACCCACAAAAAACAGGATTTCAGGATTACTTAATTTTCATTGTGTTATACAGCTGATGTACTTTGCATCCAGTTATGAGGGCATCATCGTAAAACCTTATGAGGCATTTTTGTTTGACTTAGAGCTGTAAAAGTCCAACTGGTTTTCCTTGGATAGAAACAGTGCTGTGAAAAAGTTTTTAATTATTTTCTTGCAAACTTCAAGAGTTTTGATCAATAAATCCACAAATTCAAGAGATAAACCAGAAAGGAATATAGAGCCAAGCACTGAGAGATGCATCATCCTTCAGTTGATCAGGTTTTCAGCTAATAGTCTGAGAATCCCCTTGTTGGTGCTAAAATTACAGTTTTATGTGTCAAACTGTCGTCTTTGGGATTCTTCCATAAAATCAGCTAAAGACATGGGAACAAATGGCATTATTTTTTTGGACAGACTGCTAATAGAAAAGTCTCTAAAGATCCAATTAATAGCTGGTTCTCTGCCAAGTTTTCTGTCGTGTCAACACAACACTGGTTCATCCCAGATCTTTTTTTTTTCTTAAATTCTTCCAGCATTCCACTGAAAACAGAATAATTTGGGGTGATTTGATTGAAATGGACAAATGAAAATGTGTTATAGTCAATTCACTACAGTACTTTATAAAAAGAGGGTTTAATGGACTTTGAGGACATGAATTATTCACTGAGGTGATGAGATGCAGGTTAAATGTTAAGTACTGGTTTAGCAACATGGTTGTTTGTTTATGGAACAGTCTTGTTGAACATATTGTTCTCTCACCTTAAGACTGACTAAGATTTACATTTCAGTGCTGTTATTCAATTATTTGTATTGTGGTTTGAGATTTTTACTTGTGTTTTTGGTTGTGTCTTATGGCAAATTGTTCTTTTTTTTCACTTTAAAAWTTTTAAGGATGATAGTTCTCATTAATAATAATCATATCCATGACAGAAACTAAGAAGTATGTCAAATAATGAAAGCCCTTCAGGAAGCCTGGAGAACTATTAATCAAGACCACTTTAAACATAACAAGTCTCACCTTTCGGAAGCAAAATATAAAAATAAAGAATGACTTTGACTCCAGGCTTTTATACAATACTGTTACAAACAACAACCTATCRTAAATGTAGAAATCCCCTTTTTTTCTCTGTATGAAATGCAGATTGTGAGTCATTTATTTTTATTATGTTTTTGAAGTGGTTTTGCTTTTGTTTTTGAAAACCAATTCAACTTTTTGGTTTATTTCTTTTAAATGATGTTCATAGGTCATTATCAAACTGACAGACACATAATTAAATATAGAAATGAAATGGCTACAATAGCTGGATCATGAAAACTGTGTAGGTTTAGAAAATTGAACAAAAGATATTTTTCACTGAAGATTGGTTTTAAATTTTACCTTTATTCTCTTTCTGGCCTTTTTTTTTAAAATCCCAGTCTGTACTAAATCAGAGCTGAATAAGCCAATCAGTTAAAAGAGCTCAACTTTTCAAATATTACTGTGTTTGTGGTTTCTGTTTGTCACTTTATTATTCCTCAGTGATATCCTTATTTATTGGTACTAATATGAGGCATTGTTCTATTATCTGGTTTTCCATTAGTTCTGTTTAAGCACAGTGAGTTAATGTTTCAAAGCAGCCATTGCATTTTTGTTCCAGACTCTCTCCTGACTGTACATATTGTAATTGGTTCTGGCTTTATTTAGCCACATTAGCAAACAAATGCACAAAGCAGCGCATTTAATTGACTTAAGCGCTAAACGTTGCATCCCCAAACCCTGTTAGGAAGCGAAGGGAAAGGCATGTCAGCCGGAGAACTGTGCTGTGCTTTGTCTCTGAGGGACTCGCACTCAGAAAATTAACAATTAAGCTGCCTCCAGTTAGAGTTCAACTTGTTTACAAGACGTTTTGGAGAGCGGGAGGTGGAGGAGAGAAAGGGGTGGGAGGAGGAGGGCGAAGGGGGGATGAGGACAATCTATGCAACGGGGGAGAAAACAGGCTGAAAGTCCAGCGAGGGGAAAGTTCACTCCTGTTTAGGTGGAGGTAGAAGACAGGCAGGAGCAGTGTTGCTGAGGTCATTCCCCCAGTGCCGGGGCGGTGGTGCCAGAGAGAGCTGCTTGTGCCCCAAAGAGGAGACGCTGACGTGCCCCCACCCCACGGCCTTGTTAAGTGAAGGAGTGTAGGATGAAGGAGATGAGTAAGACGTATGCCATTGTGGAAGTTATTGAAGGAGAACAGATTCAGCTGGTAAGACATCAAAGCTCTCTTTTTGCTTTAACTTGACTTTGATGTTTTTTTTTTTAATTGGAGGGAGTTGCTGCTTCTCCAGCTGGTGTCAGGACACAAGCAGCATCAGCTTATTGTCAGCCTCGGGTCTCTGATTAAAAGAGGAACTTTAGCAAAGAAGGAAGTGGTAGAGTTTAGTTTTGAGGGTTTTTGTTGTTGTTGTTTTGGCATGCGGTGTGATGCTTCTGCTGGATTTAGATCAAGATAGCGTGGTTAACCTGATGAACTGCTTCCACCTTTTTGTGTGTCCGTGTATGAGATATAAACCCACAAAACCTGTCCTTGTGGTTTTATCTCCTCCTGCTCTGTGTGGTTGATTGGTTTAATCTTTTTAAAGTTTGCCTTGATGCTTGTGTCTGTGTCTCACTTGATTAGATTGAGCAGCACACACTACTCAATCATTTGACTAACAATGGTTTTGTTTAAACTAGTTCCTTGTGCAGTAAAGGGAATGCAACTCAAACTTCAGATTGGTCCATCGAGCCATGCTGCCAAAATTCCAGCTTTATTTCTCCTTATTTCCTTTACTGTCAGAACAGTGAGGGGAAACTCACCTGCTAATCCTGCCGGGGATTAAAGCAGCAAATTCCATGGAATTTTTGGAATTTTAAAGTTGAGTAGGAGCCGGGGACACCACTGAACGCCAGGCACAAGGGAGTACTTAAAAGTGTTGCGTGGGTGTCCATGTATGATTGGTGACACTGAGCCATGCTAAGTACCAGTCAGAATTACTTGCTAATTGAATTAATGGACTCTTATTGGATGCGCTCAGTGAGTGGGACTTGGAGTTAAACAAAGACTGTTTTCTAGATTATCTGTTGACAAAGTGAAACTAATTACAAGTTTAAGTAACATATTCCCTGAAAAACASCAGATTTTTCAGCAAATATTAGTTGCATCGTAAAAAATACTGCCATTAAACAAATAATCAAAGTTAATATTAATAACTTCACAATTTGTGTTGACAGAACTGGTTAACTCGTGAAACTGAGTTTTTCAAGATCAAAGGTATAATTATGATCTTTTTAAAGTGAGGTTTTAAATGTTTTTTAACAAATATTGTCTTACCTTTTATGGATGGCTCATTGAATAAGTTCAATTAGGAGAAAAAAAAAAGAGTTTATTTCTGACCAGATTGATGAGCTAACAGCTAGTCTGAATCAGGCCAAGACCAAAGTGGATTACTGTTGTCCRAAAACCAATTTCACAGACATTCATGCAAATGACATTTTTACAGATTTTAACATCATTTATTTCATTAAAACTATTATGATATTCCTGCAGGCAGTGATGTAGGCTTCACTGCATCTGCTACAGCTTGTTGTACCTGCTGCTAATCTTAAGTGATGAGAAATAAATGACAATTTAAAGGTTTGTTTGAAATAAAAAAAACTATGAATGTTTTGAGACTGGCAACAATCTACTCTTTTAGACCCTGCTTAGCCTTTAGTTTATCAATYGTATCAGAATTAAAAATTATGTCTCCAAACTGAGATTATTAAAAATCTATCTGCAACAGGTAAGATATTAATTGTTCAAAACAATAGATTTGAACTATTACTTTAAAGCCTTCTTTAGATTTTTGCATCTTTGGTGAGTGATTCATTGAACCTGCAGGGATCCATGTTTGTATTTATGTCTGCGAATGTGTTTGATCTCCCTGCTCACACAGTAGCTTCCAGATTAGGCTATCTTCCCCGTTGAGCTCTTTATCTTTCAGGCCTCATTAGCAGTGCCATATTTGCCCTTGCTTCAGGGAGTGTGGCACGGCTACTTGATGCACATAAAAAAGTCCATCACAGTCATTGACCTAGGCAATTAAAGGGAAATCAAATCATTTTAAGAGTCCATACAAACCTAAATTACAGTTGTTTTACAACGTCTAAAGTGCAAGAAATTGGAGTTTGGAGTGCTCCTCAGGCGTGATTTTAGTAGCTGGAGGAAGGCAGAGGAGCAAGCTGGGCCATAAAGACAGATAAGATGGATTGTGTGATTGTCAATCATTACTGCGTGCTTGGCAAACTGTTTTCAGGTGTGATATTTTTTCATTATCTTCAGCTACGCGATCTTTACAGCACAATAAACAGAAGCACTGACTTCAGAAAAAAAAACACTTAACAAGGTGCATAAAGCTGCCAAGGCATTGTCTATAAAACAAATCTGATGGAAGGAAGGAACATTATCAGACACTCGCTTCATTTAGAATGTTTTAAATTTGATTAAAGCATTCACTCAGATTAAATTCTTATTAAAATGTAAGAACGTTGTGTTAAATTAAGGATTTAATTGTGTTTATTTTCTCTAAATAATAATTGAGTGTTTTTTTTATTTTCTTCAAATTGTTGCATGAAGTGTTGCTTTGTGTGCGTCCCCTCCTCAGCTCCCACTTTCCAGCAGTCACCTGGATGTTTACACAGGTCCTGGGATGAAGGGCCCAGCCATCCCCATGACGAGTAACTCCTGTCCTGCCAACTTGACCATCAAGCGGGAACTGTCAGGTGCGGACGTCTAAGTAACACAACATCGCTCTCATTGTAAACCTGCCCAGTAATCGAATCGCCCCATTATTTCTGACCGATGACTTGAYGAAATGTAACCGAGGTCATTGCCATCATTGTTAACTCATAGCAAATTTGTCAGCCTTTAGTTAATTCTGTTTTGTCTTTGCAAAGACACAGAAGCCCGTGCTCTGGCCAAGGAGAGACAGAAGAAAGATAACCACAATCTGAGTAAGTCTTTGCCTCAACGTACTCTTTACCTTATATTTTCAAACTCCCCAAGACTTCTTTTTACTTTATGGCCTCAGTGCAGTGCTTATCTATAGAAATATTTGCAGGAACCTACACACACACACGCACACAGAGATTCACACTCCATAATTTGTGTCTTGCACAAACAGTTTTATACAGCTTTGTGCTGATTTAGCTGACACAGTACAACAAGTGAGTGGATAGTTAACTTGATCTTTTCTGCTGTCCCAGCACTTAAAGAGCAATTGCCTGTAACTGTGTGTGTGTGTGGGTGTGGGTGTGCAAATGTTTGCCCTCTTTTTTTTACTCTTTCTCTCCATAATGCATAAATCTGCACTTTTGCACTGTGAAACAAACATGCAGCTGTAGAGTTTCTGCTCTTACTGGCTCATTTTAATGGTTTGTCTCCTTCTTTCCTGTGCCATAGTTGAACGGAGGAGGAGATTCAACATTAACGATCGTATCAAAGAGCTGGGAACCATGATACCTAAAACCAACGACCTGTGAGTTACTCACTTTGACTGTGCCATAGAAGCAAAGGARCTTGTTGCTGTTTGCTCATGCATGTGTGTGCTTTCCTGYGTGTGTGTAGGGATGTGCGCTGGAACAAAGGAACTATACTGCGCGCATCTGTAGAGTATATCAAACGCATGCAGAAGGATGTGCAGAGGTCCAGAGAGGTGGAGAATAACTTCAAAAGAATGGAGATGGCCAACAAGCAGCTAATGCTACGCATCCAGGTAAAGCACGTGCACWGCGATAAGTGCGGGAACGTAAGAACGAAAGTGGTTTTGACGAGGCTGATCTCTGTTAAATGTCTGCAGGAGCTGGAGATGCAGGCTCGCCTGCATGGCCTGCCCAGCACCTCTCCCTCTGGCATCAGCATGACTGAAGTCATGCCTCCTTACGTGAAACAAGAAACCAGCCAAGAGGAGAACTTTTCTCATCCCCCGCCACAAGCCCACCACCAGCACCAACACCAGCACCTGCCCCACAGTCAGGCACCRCCTCAGGCTCAGCAGCACCACTTCCTCCCCCAGAACAACCTCCATCCCCAGGGCCAGGCCCTGCCCCCACCCAGGCAGCTCCCACCACTCCAGCACCTCCAGCAGCCCATCCAGTTCCCAGCTGTGGGCAGCTCCCAACCCTTTGACTTTGTCCAGTCGCTAGACTTGTGCGACGGRATCCCCGGGTTCTCCGACGGCATGTCGGGGCTGGGTGACCTCGGCGGACTGGACGTCCAGGCGAGGAGAGGCGAGCTGGGGTTCTTGATGATGGACGAGCCTTTGTCCCCTATAGGTGGAGACCCACTGCTCTCTGCAATGTCCCCCGAGGCCTCTGTGGACTCCAGCCGCAGGTCCAGCTTCAGCATAGAGGATGGAGACATAATGTAGACCCATTTATACTCACATACACTCTATTCRAACACAAGAGTACAGAGTGGCTGCAGTTAAAATGTTAACAGCTTATACACACGCACAAACACTCACACACACATACACACACAAAAAAAATACAGTGAAGGAAATCATTTATTTCAGTTTTTACACACATCAGTTATGGTACAATTCTCTGTAACGGTTCAGGAGGAAGTAGAAGGTACAAAGGTACACTCACACAGACAGAAACATGCTGGAAGGAGCAAACATTTGCACGCACACACACACACACAAACACACACACACACAAGTGCCTGTAAGTGAATCTGAGCGAAACTTTACCAAGCAGACCGAGCGTTTACAAGTTGTGAACCAACACAGCCAGGTCACTTCTGCAGCTCGTTTGTTTCCATAAACGTTGCTCTGAATCCTAAGTGAAACAGCAGACGGCATCAGCAGTTAATTAGATTGATGCTATCAGATACAAGGACAAACGAGCGCGTCATCTCACGTGATCCTTGTTTGCCCCCTCGCGCAACCTCCTTTAATAACCGTAAATGATTGAATGAGCGATAGTTAATAAAAGAAAAATAGCTCCGTGGTTCTGCATGCGTRATTTATCTTAAAGGGAAGCAGGCCTCTCACACTGCTGCATTCCTCGGTTGGTTGTTCCACATTCTGCTTTAACCTCAGAACTTAGCTGTGGACAAACATCCGTGTGGAGCGAATTCTTTAAATTTCCATAAATTACACTGTAAATGTTGGATTGACCCAAAATCACTCTGATTTTCCTGTTTCATCAGGAGGAAATGAGCTGTTTTTCTACAACTCAAACCTGTCAYGATCTTCTCTATAAGACAAGGTGAAATCTTTAGCAGTGTTGAGAAAACCTCAGGATGATCAACAAGATTGGTTTAAAAAAAAAAGGTATCAAAAGTTCTCAGGTACTGCGACAAGAAGCAAAAATATTTTAGAAAAAGTGTTTATTTCAGTTGTTTCAGGGCCATAATCTAGTTGTGGCTTTTGATTAATGCAGCTGCGTTTTTTTAATTAAATGTTTTTAATATATACATTTTTTCCCGGTCTTGATATGTCGGAGGCTATTCATAGCTTAAGAGTCGAAATGATTTGTAATTTTAGGTCGCTTCAGTTTTTTTTTTTTTTTTTTTGAGCTTGTCAGGGTTGTGTGGAGGGGAGCGATGAAGATAAAAAAAAAAAAAGAATATATATATATTTTTATTATAATCTCCACTGTAAAAGCACAGCAATAGAGCATTCTATGACACACTCCGTCACACTCACACGTTCAAGCGGAAGGCACTCACCAATCACATGCACGCATTACCGTTTCAAGCACAGCCTGCTCTCGGGCTGTTTACACATCAGGCCTCTTCAGCCTCCTCACCTTGTGATTTGAGTAAAGCGTGCAGCTGCAGAGGTGAAGCTCGGGTCTGCTGTCACATTCAGAGAATTCATGACTCCAGCTGTCACGCTGCAGGTTGGAGCAGCTTGTGGAGAACCTGTCTGCTGTGTTTAAACCTGGAATTTGTCCTTGATTTGGTGTTGATTTTGATCCGAAGTGATAGAGGAGAAGAAGAAAAAAAATCATGGTGATTTGTTTTGACTTTATTTTTATTTTAAAGTTTGTTGTTTGTTTTATCCCTCAAAGCACTAGAATCTGTATAATTGTTTAGACTTTGTACATGAAATACGATTTATTTCACATGTTGTGCGCCACTAAGCCACTTAAATGTGTTTCGTTTGTATTTGTTGTTTTAGCTCTATTTCATCTCAACCCCCACTTTTTTTTGAGGAGGTCTTTGTAAATGTATTCATAGGAGGAAGATAAGAAAAAAATGCTTTTGAACTTCCTTATCTGTTTATTTTTGGAAGATGAAGAGAATATGTACATTTAGGGTACCATTTTTATACGATTGGAATAAAATTTTTCTCTTTTAATTTTGGAGGCAGGTATAGATAATATATGATTCTGTGATTTGAAACAAACGAATGTAAAGTTTTGAAGGAGTTCTGGTGAGGTTCAAGTAAATCAGTGTTTTTGCCCCATGTGTTTTGCTCTTTGACTTGGGTTTCCATGGATCTTGGAAGATGTCTTTACGTGACAAAACTCTGAGCCAGTGCCGTGTCATTGTCTGGTGTTGTAACACTGACTCTGCATTTGTACTTGTCCAGAATCGTGCCTTTCTGCCACGGCTGGACTTTAACTGCGCGATCACTCCAGCCAACACTCCAAAGAGCTCCTCAGGCCTCCTCTGTTCTTCCACTTGAGGGCACTCTTCAGAGCAGCCACACAGGGAAAAGTGGCTCTGAATTTACTATAAAAATAAAATAAAATTTTTACCCAAGTCCATTCGTTGTATTTCATTTTTCATGTGCTTGTATGTTACCATTGCAAAAAAATAAAAAAAGGTTTAGTTTGAAATCTTCTCTAAAGATTTTGTGATGTCACTAACTTCGTCAATCAATTCATCAAGTGATGTTGAAACTTAAAAGCATTCACCGAGCAAACACTGGAAAATGGACTTTGAAGTGAAGCAAAGTCATCCTGAAATCTGCACATTTGTGAAATTCCCAGAAAAGCAGGAGAAGATAAAAAAGAAGATACTGAAAAACGCAGCAGATTATTCTTAGATAAATGTTAAATAGCTTGAACAAAAACATTCTTCTAAAAAGTGTCAAGAACTTGACTTAAAAAGCAGCCAAAGTTAAAAAAGAAAAAAAAAAAGCTTTGAAAAACTCAGAAAACCTGATTAAGAACTGATCAGAACCACTGAAAGATTACAAGCAAATCTGGCTTCTTGGAAGTAAAAAGAAATGATACATGTCTCAAAACTTTTGCACAGTACTGACAAGCAATAAATACAAGCAAATCATATTTTGGTCCACAAATGCCACCAACATTTGTTTTCATCGTATTTTTGTGATAGGAGACAGAATAGTTGAATTGTATAGATGTTATTTCATGATGTGTCCACCAGGCGGCAGCAGAGATCCACACTAATGAATATTTAGTTCCCGCGCTTCTCTTTGAAAGCACTTATTGCTACAGCAGTCCCAGAAAAATTAACATTTTTTAAATACTTCTTAAATATGTTTGTTTGTTCTATACAAAAAGTACAGTATTAGTTATGTTTTTGAAAATTTAACCTATTTAAAACATTCATTTATAAACAGATCTTTTCATTTTGATTTGGCTAGCTATGTTTTTTTTTAATTTCAGAGCTTTAAGTGTTTCCTGTCTTCTTTTGTTAAGAGTATCTCCTCTCCTCTGCAGCTCCTTCCATCATATCCTGATATATTAGTCCACGGCTGCTTCGGGATGATCCATAAAACATATAACTGCCTTTCTTAAGTTAAATCAGGGTAATCTTTTTCCCTTATCCGCACACGTACACACAGACGCGCACACACTGATAGCGCAGAGCATGTTGGGAGTGCGCTGATGGTGTCAGCAGCCCATCCACAGGCCTATTCTCCTGGGTCTTTATGATGCTAATGTACTTCCCGGTCTAATAAATCCCTGTAGAGCTGCGAAGAGTAGATCTTATGGCTCACTCCGATCTCCACCTTTTCGCCCATCTTCCCTTCCTCCCAAGGCACGCGCRCGCACGCTTTGCTATTACAGCTACAGAAGTGCCTGCCTTGCACTTCCGCGGATACTTAGGAGGATGTTTAGTGAGAGGGAAAGAAGCGAAGGGTCGAGACAAATCAAACATGAAGGTGCAATTTAAGAAAAGCTGGCACAGGGAAGCGGACTTTGGCTCTGGAGAAGTGTGCAGGGGGTCGAGTTAAGAGGAGGCAATTTGAGAAAGTTGCCTCTTTCTTGTGGATGGGTCCTTTTTTTCATGAAGTAACACC